CACTGGGCTAAGTGTTGCAAACAAGAACCGGTAGATGATTATTCTATTCGGCATGGCTTTCTTTTCAAGGGACATTTACTCTGTGTGCCATCTTCATCGTGGAGGCAACATTTTATTAAGGAAGTTCATGCAGGCGGATTGTCGGCGCATATGGGCAGGGATAACACGATTGTGCAATTCCAGCAACGTTTTTTTTGGCCTCATTTGCGGCGGGATGTCTCGAAGTTTGTGGAAAGATGCTCAATATGCCAGTCTTACAAAGGCGGGGGCCAAAACACTGGCTTATACCAGCCACTGCCTGTACCGGAGTCTATATGGGAAGACTTAAGTCTCGATTTCATTTTAGGCTTACCGAGGACCAAACATGGCAATGATTCGATTATGGTTGTCGTTGATCGATTCTCCAAGATGGCACATTTCATTGCGTGCAAGAAAACGTTTGATGCTCTCAACATTGCCAAGATTTTTTTTAAGGAAATCGTTCGACTACACGGCATTCCCCGCAGTCTTATGTCAGATAGGGATGTTAAATTCATCAGCCATTTCTGGCGTGAATTATGGAAAAGGTTGCATACACAAATTCAGCTCAGTTCGTCCTATCATCCGCAAACTGATGGCCAAACGGAAGTGGTCAACCGCACGTTGGGGAATCTACTACGTTGCCTGGTTCAAGACAATCCTAAACTATGGGATGAGCTTCTCAGCCAAGCTGAATTTGCGTTTAATTCAATGACCAACCGATCCACTGGTATGTGCCCATTTAGTATAGTTTATACTAAAACACCCAATACGGTTCTTGATGTTGCAGTGCTGCCGAATTGCAAGAGCAAGACTGCAGCCACCTTGGTGGAGAACTATACTGAATTCCTATCCAATATTCGCTTAAGACTGCAAGCAGCCAACGCAAAATACAAATCGGAAGCAGATATTCACCGTCGGGAGAAACTTTTTAAAGCTGGAGATCTGGTACTTGTAAGGCTAAAACGTGAACGACTTCCCGTTGGCGAATACTCAAAGTTGGGCAAGAAGAAATGGGGGCCGTTTCCTATTGTCCATAAAATTAACGATAACGCATATGTCGTTGATTTGCTTGAGGAGTTTAACACATCGCACACTTTCAATGTCAAAGATATCTACACCTATCATCCTCCAGATGACCCCGAGAACCAACAGCAATCTGCTAGCACAGATTTTCTTTCTAGCGGGGGCGAATGATGCGGAGCAATCCCGGTTATTCGGTTCCAGGGAGTACTTTAACCTTCAGTAGAATAAACTTGCTTATTCTGTTAGTAGAATTCAGGTGCCACTACCTAGTTAGCTTTAGTTAGTTATATATTACAGCACTCCCTTTTTATTATGTTTACCTTTTAGTAGTAAAGGCTGGCATATATTAGCCAGAGCTGTTATCAGAGGAAAATAGCTTTTTCATTTCAATAGAAACAATACACAGCTCCACCGTGAATTGGAGTTTCTACATTGCTCGTCCCTCTTGTTTCTCTATTGCTTGCAGGTGTTGCGGCATCAACATGTATAACAGTTTTATTCAATGTCTTCTTCTTTTTTATAGTTTTATTCAATTTCTTCTTAGTGCATGCCTATGTCAGTTCTTCAGTTATATTCGTTCATCTTCTCATTGTTGAATCCTCTGCATTAAACACAGATGCCAAGGCTTGGCATTTATTTCATGGATGATTTTCTCAACTGGCCTTTTAACTTGATCATAAATTTATGTAGGTGATGGACATTAAGCGTCTAAACAATATGATGAGTGACCATGGAATTTACTCAAGAGAGAGGCTTCTCATACCCATAAGCAATCCAGAACTTCTCCAGGACAGCATCTGCTACATTGAGTTAGACGGTCATGCAAAGAGAGAAGTTGCAGTTCTCTATTTAGAAGGTGGGCCTAATGGAAAATCTACTCCTATTAGTGGTTTCATCACTGAAAGAAGCAGGAAGAAAATACTTGATTCCATGAAGCGAAGTATGCATGTAGATGATGAAACTGCAGCATATTACTTGTCAATCTCAAATAACAATCCCAGGGCTGCTTTTCTTCAGTTCTCTGAGGACCTTGGGTGGGAGCAAAGGCGATGAACGCCCCGGAAGTTCACATCATAATTCCATAAATGATTGAAACATTACAAAATGTTTGTCTTAGTATATAGTATTTTTGCCTCAGTATTCTCGGGCTTAACTCAAGGGAAAGGAGGTATGTTACCGAAGCTAAACTTCTATTGTTGTTGATGTAATCTTAATTTTGTCTTCATTCTAGGCAATTTCAGCTGCATCTATCGCTGGAAAAAATGTTTCCAGCCTTAAGTAGGCCTATTCTATAATCAAACACAAATTTGACTACTAGGACCAGCTAAACCAGATAGTGTTAACCCAATTTATGGAAACTCCTAAAAAAATCAGAGATTAACGGTCTTGAGGATTATTTCAAAAATTAACTTTGCATACTTATTGTATATAAGATTTTGTAAGTATACTAAAGTGATAGGAAATACTTGATTTCAAGTAGTTCCTAACCAAAACTGAAGCCGAACAAGGAGAAAACTGCTGTCTCCAACAGTGGACAGCAACTATGCGCAGGAAAAACTGTGAATATTACGAGAATATTGAGAGACAACGCAAGCAAAGACTTGTATTTTTACTAGTAGACGAAACAAATAGCAAAGATACAATTTGTTCTTCAATTCGAGAGGAAGAACGTACTCTCCAAAGTCTCCGGCAAAGCCAAGAGCCCAAAACAAAACGTAGATCTCAAAGAGAAAACTCCAATTCAAGATGAGATTCAAATTCCCCCCCAAACTCCTAATTATACAAAATTAATCATAAAGGACAATAATAAACTTCCTAAAACAGCCTTCCCATTCAAAATTTCCCTCCTAATCTCCCCCCCAAGCCGCCTACGTGGACCTCGCGTTTTTCCGCCCCGTCTGCTTTCTCCGCCTGGAGTAGCAGTGGACCGGTCCGGGTTGGACCGATCCAGCCGGCCCCTCCTGGGCCGGCGTAACATTGCAAGCAAGGAAGTGTTGATCCATTCATTAGTATTATGCTTCCTTTCATTGTTTATGGAACTCATTTGTTGCTTATGAGTGAGACATAAATCTTTCAATCGATCTTTGCTTGAACAATCATGATTTTCATTAACTCTTATATTCTTCATACTTTGTAGAGATATCAAATCTTCAGACGATTTGATACTTTACCTATGATCATATCACTGCAGCACTTGTAGATATTTCATTGTGTGTCCTTGAAGTTCCCCTATCCTTGAAGGTCACTTACAATACATACACCAAGTTTAACATCCTTGATTATTGTCATTAGTGCTCATGTTAACATTACGACCTTTGGCTTTCATTGGAGAACACTTCCAATTATTTTTTTTATATGAACTTCCCTATTCTCCATAATCTCCACCATTCATTGCTTGCAAACTCTACTTGTCCTTCATTATTCACTTGAATGCATTTCCACAAACTCCTTGCATACGATTGTAGGTGGATTATTACTCATTTGCATTTGGTTAGAAATTCATGATGGCTCTTTGACGTTCATTGGAGATTTCATGCCATAGCTTATAGGTGGAGATCTTGTTGATCTCTCTTTGCAAGCAAGTTGTTTCATCAATTGAGAGCATCACATTATGTCATGAGATTTGATTGTGTTGTTTCTCAAATGAAGTTTCATTATTGCTCTTTCATCTTATATTGTTCAAGTCATGACTTACTTAAGTCAAATGAGCTGCTCGAGTTTAGCTCGAGTCTAGGTTCAATCATTCAAACTCAAGTGCATATCAATGTTATTTCTCATTCCATCCTTGCTTGCAAATATGCTTCAAATTATGTTGAGTTCCATAAATCCTCTATTTGATTGTTGATGTTTATTTGAACAATTCAAAGTCTTAATTAGCATTTCTATTCTTTTTGTTTGATTTAAACATTTAACATTCAAAGTCCGGGTCCTTGTAGTCAAATTGCAAGTTCTGTTTCATATCCAAGATGAGTTCAAGTTCTAGTTCTTGCTTGAGTTCGAGTATCAAGTTCAAGTTCTATGTCCCATGCCATCCTTTGAGTTCAATCAAGTCCAAGTCTTGTATTATTTTGCTCGAATTTTAGTTCAAGATTCATTTCAAATTCAAGTTTGAGTTCATTTCGTGCAAGTGCACTCAGGTCCAAATCAAGTCCAAGTACGGTCTTATTTTCAACCGAAATTTCGGGAGCCTCCCAACGTCTCCACCGTTTAGGGGAAAACTACGGAAAACTGGGACTCCCGCCACGCTAAAGAAAGGGGAGGGGGGAGGCGTGTATGGGTCTTCGGTACCTGTTACAAAAGAGAAGCAGTTGTTTCCCCACAGGTACAGAGCCGCGTACGGGTACTTAAGATTATCCCGGTCACGCTAAGAAAAATGCATACCGGACTTACCCGCCTCGTCGTAGGTGTCGCGCCGGATTCCCTTCTCACCACGCTAGAGAAAAGCGTGTATGGGTAGTTTGTCGGCTCAAAACAAACGTCGATTGTGGGATTTTGAGTTTAGGAAGTTATACCTTCGGAACAAAGTGATGACGATGACGATGGTGGTGACGGGTATAGGTTCTGCCTGGGAGGTTTCACAGCTTGTAGAGGTGGATCGGCTTGGAGCAGGATGTGGTCGGGTATAGGAAGAGATGGAGAGTGGTGCTTGCGATGAGGTGAGGCTTGCGTTGGGAGCGAATGGAGAAGGCCAGACAGAGTAGAGGAAGGGGAAAATCGAAACTCTGAGGAGGAAGGGGCTCAGGTAGGTAAGAAGAATGCTCTCTCTCTCTCTCTCTCTCAATCTCTGTGTGTCTCGACGAAATAGGGAGGTAGAGGGTTGAGTGCTTGGACGTCGGCATGAGTTTGAGAGGGATTCACGATTGGAGGAGTTCGATCTGCTTGCGAACTAGTGAGTGGGAAGGGAATCCAGAACCGAGGGCTCTTCTCCGCTTCTCCTTTTATTGACGCCAGTAGGGTGCGAATCAAGGCAAAACTCCGCACGCGAGGGATGGGCCGCTGACATTCGGCGTCGTTCGCAGACTGCGATGAGATTTCTCGCAGAGAATCAGGATGGGTAGCAGGTATGTAATGATTTAGCCATTTTTTATTTCTTTTTTTTTTTTGGCTGTAGAGTAGAGGTCAACAAAATGTCATATATTCTTATTATAATTAAATGATGCAATCAGACAACCTCTTATTCCTCTAGGGATTATGGATTATTCTGTTTTGGTGAAGAGAGCTAGAAAAATTAAAGTGAATGTTCAAAATACACAAAGAATGGGTGAAATTCAGAAAAACAACGTAGAGGACACGAGAGCTTCACAAGATACTTAAGCTATACCATTCTCGCAAAATTACTAAACAAACTATATCAGAGTTTCTCACTCAGTAAAAGATACAATTAAAGAAGTTAAGGAAATGAAAGATATAATTGTAGTGAAACAAAATCCATAAGTGTTTTCTTACTCAGTAAAAGATCCACCTTACAGAATGACAGCTAAATTATTGTAGGAGCTAAAAAGTCAATTGCAAGAATTACTAGATAAAAGATTTATCAGGCTAAATTTGTCGCCCCGGGGAGATCACAAGTACAAAACTCCAAATACAAACACTCAAGACAAGCCCACACACTCACACAAAACAACTCCGCAATATGCCCTCTCCCTTACAAGAAGTCTAAGGCCACTATTTCTAGTTTTTCTAAATAACTAAACTAGCATCGCAACACTGGCTTGAAGGCATAAGAGCTCACCGCGGCAGCACTGGAATGAATTTGGGCTCTACGACTCTGGTTTTGTGGTGTTGTAATGCTGGTTCAATTTTCCTTTTTTTTAACTATTTTTTGCACAAAACACAAAGATTACAAGCACAAAATATCATAGTAAATGTAACTTGGAATGAACAATTTTTATCTTATCACAAACCGAGCATCCCCATAACACTAATAAGTATTTGCATAAACAACGAATCAAACTTCATGGGACAATTTGACAAAAAGATAAAACACTTGCTAATTAGAGAAAGAAGGCAAAAACAAAAGGAATCTTCCAACATGAGAAGTAAATTATGGGATACAAATTGAAACTTGAACTCAAGAATATTATGCTTCGGCTACAGAAAAAAAAATGTAGATAAAAGGTAATTGTGCTATCTTACCATCATTAATCAGCTAAAGATGCAAACATGAGCACTGTATTATAATTGACAGAAGCATCTGTACTAATCCGTGAATAAAGCTCCCCACGTGGCTCAACAGTTGGCTGCAACGTGATGGAAGGAGGCAAAAATGGCAATGATTTGGGTATACAAGGAAGCTAAAACAGTCCAGCTAATTCCATACTAAGATGTTCGAGACATGGACTGAGCTCCCATCTCTTGACACTCAAATATAATCGAAGTAAACAGGTCCACGAAAAAACTTGATCTCGTCCCCATTGCACAGTCTTAACCATCATTTAGTCACATTATCCATCATGGAGATAGAACAATAGGCTCTATAGAGCAATTTTGTGGATGTCTAGAGGTAAAGCTCTTCAATCTCCTTAGCAGAAGCAAAGCATCAGAGGCCGAACAACCCTGGCTCATCTGAAGGACCACAGGAAGTGGAGAGTCCTTGCTTATCTCCAAAAGTACCGTGCCCTACAATCATAAAAAAGCAAGCGTGAGCAGTTCTTGACAAATTATTTAATTCGTAGGCAATATGTGAGAGTAAAAAAGAAATGTGATGGTTGTTATATTTCTCCAATGTATAGGAAATGAAATTTAAACTGGTTTCCAGCAGAATATAAAAGATGAATGAATAATTAAACAAAGAAACACCCAGTTAAATCATTATTAACAGCATATAACGTTAGTGCTTAGACACCTCCAGTCAGCGCCAGAAAAAAAAAACTCTGCTAAAATGTCATTGCACCTACCTTTTTCAATAAATTTGGCAGCGTACTATTCCAATTACTGTCAAGTTAAAAGGTTGTAAGCCGTGAGTGATAACGAGCCAAAAGGCCTAAAATTATTTGAAAAGGGGATTCTAGTAATGAGGACCCAAACAAAATCAAGCAAGTAAACATTAATAAGAAGATTGCATAAGCCAGTTTGAGTGTTAACAAAATCAAATGATTTTCACAGTACGTACACCACATTCGGATGTACATTTAAAACTGCCAAGAATAAAATGTAATTGTTCAATGTTTAATGCAATTCTCCTTGGGATACTCTAGGCAAAGAATACGGAAGAAACGGATCCATAAAAGATGACTTCAAATTGAAACAAGGACAAAAGATGAAGTAAGAACAACAGCTAAAAATCAAAAAACAAAAGAAAGATATGGCTCAGAGTGGAAAAAATAGAACCAAGGGGACCAAATATTTAGAAAAATAATAACGGGAGACTGAAAATTCATATTTAAGTATGTGTATCTGCATGGCAAGAAATCGCAACAAAAAAAAACCCACAAAATTATTAACTGATATATCCTATAACAGTTAATGAACAAAAAGAGTCCAGCTAAAAATCAAGGTAAATAGTAATGCTACATGATACTCTATGATCGGTGATTTCCAATACAAACCTAAATGTAAAACTAGAATAATTTGATTAAGATGCAGCAGCGACAAGCAATTCGGCTTGGTAGCAAACCCTCTAATACAACAGTTATTTTCTACTGACTATTAATAACAAAAGCTAGGCAAACAATAATGTCAACCAAAGATATGTCGATCTCCAAATAGAAATAAATGATGAGAAACAGAGATAATAAAAAACAAAAATAAAGAGATGATCAATCGATGTTTCACATAAAGAAACGAAACCAAGATGTAATAGAACAAAATAAAATGAATCCACTTTTAAGTTGGTCATAAAATAATGAAAGAAGGAAAGCAAAGAGAACAAGAAAAAAAGAGAAAAAGATAAAACCAAGTAAGCATGCCAAATGCGTGAGCAAAAAAGATAATCTCTTAGAAGAATTTTCGGTGTCACACCTAATGAAGGATTGCTAAAGCAAGACAACTCGGGTTTAAGATTTCATAATGCAACTAATTTGATAAATATAATGCTTTAATACAAGAAAAACTAAAGATTCACATACATCAGGCTATCAATCCATTCAACACTTTCTTTAAATGAAAATAAAAAAAATAGTCATTTATAATCCCAATTGATAACGAAATGATTATAAATACCTAAGAATTTCAGCATAAATTTGAAAATAAATAAAACCAACAAGTAAAAAAATTAATTTTCCCAATTTAAGATTTCTAGTTTATCAAAGTAAATTTCAAGCTCCTATAGAGTAATGCAAAAAATGATTGCAATAAGATTTGTCGCACCAATGAGTAAGGCATACATGTCAATGGCACAAAATAGCACGCGTCACGGCGCATAGCGTGGCACAGCCACAGCGGCATCCATATGGCATGGCACATAGGTTGAAAATGGCGCATGCTATTTGCATCATGTCTGCGTCATGGCGCAAATAACGCACACCAGCTTATTTAGTAAAATTTTAATATAATTACAAAGATTTTTTAATACTTACATGTTTTTAATTTCTAAGTTGATGTAATAAATAATTTACTTAGGTTTATTTGTTTTGCCCGGTTCGAAACCCACACCATTCAACACTCACGCTTATGCTAAGGGTTTCAAAACTCTCGCTCCTAGGTTGTTTTGTTCATTGCATTCGCCGGTTCGATGCTCTCTTAGGATTCGAATATCATGTCGAAGCTCACTCCTCATTCCATTGTTCACCATACTCGCCTAGTTCGAAGCTTCAGTCATTTGCTGTACTCGCATGGTTTGCTGCATTTATTTGCTTTGGCTAAAGGTAATAACATCATTCACTTCCTTTTTTTATTTTGGGTCAATTAAGAAACTGAAACGACTAGTTGAATTAGCCATTAGAGTTTCTTTTTGTGCTCTATGCTACCCTTTGGATATTTGATTTGAGATCTATTGAGAACATTTCTAATATATTTCAATAAATAAATTGAAAAATTTTGAGTAAATACATGATTTAGAGTCTATACATACACCTAAAGAAAGAAAATCTATGGAACTTGGTCTATTTAGTATTTGGGACTTCTATTTTCATGATTTAGAAGCTACTGTTAAATTTAAACTTGAGCTATGCAATCTGGTTAAACTTGTTTTGTTTCATTTTGATTTCTAATAAGTGTCATCTTGACTAGCTTTATCCCAATTTTTCTTAGGTTAAGTGAGTTGATTTTTCCCGTTTTCCATTCATTCATGTTAACAACTGGATCAGATGTTTCACTTATTTTTACATAAATTATGAAGCATTATTCAACTCAAAGAAGCCGAATTGACTATAAATTATGACTTTAAATTTTAATTTGAGAACCAAACTGGATCCAAGTGGCATTAATTTACTATTGAAATAATTATTTTATTGCGAGAATTTAATGACATTAAAATAAAATTTCGTTGCTATCTCCATGTCATTCGGTTGTAATGTAAGCCTCCATGAAAGTTCTCATTATGAGGATCTACATGGTGTCATTGGATCACAATGAGAGATGTCTATCCTTATGCAGTTCAATTGATAAGATATAAATGGAGTTTTTATGACTTTCGTAAACTTTAATCTTGTCCCCAATTTGGGGAGAATAGATGAATAATTTGATATAAAAAAAGTCATCAGCCAACAGTTCTAACAACTATAAAACTTAAAAATGTTGGAGCCATCGTAGTAACTAAAATCAGTGCTATACTTTGGAATTTTCTTATGAAGCTTGGTCAATTTGTTATAATTCGCATTTTATCAGATAAGATATTAATTTTCCCATTTTTATATGATTATAATGTTTAATTATTTAAAACTGCTTGTTCATAGGTAATAAAAAATATCAAATTCAGTTCAATCTTTAAAAAACATCCAACATGAAAATATACAATATTTGTCAATAAAGCAGATAACAATACTGTCACATGTAGTTTTGTGGAAAAATAACAAAAGAAGGAATTGCATGCCACAAGCAACACCTAGTTGGGGGTTTTAGAAAATCTACAGCATATTCTAATTGCCCCAAACATGTTAAGGATAAATACAACACTCCATGCTTGAAAATAAAGGATTTAAAAGAATATATTAATGACACATCACATGTTATTATTAACGAAGGAGATGACTTTGATGAGGTGTTGGACCATCAAAAAGATATCAAACAAATAATGCTTTGTTTAGGGCAGTTTTCTTACTACTTTCTAAAGTAACTTTTTAATACAAAAATTTTTAGTTCAAGACTATTTTGTACTAAAACGTTACTTTAAAAGACAGTGAAAAGCTGCCCTAAATAAAACCTAAATCTAACACTTCTAGTCAAAGTTCAACATCAGCATCAATGCTCAAAGCATCAAGACCTAAGGGGTTGTTAGATACTAATCGTACACCAAATCCTATTGATGTGGTGAAGCAGAGAAAATGTCAATTTAGCAAAGAGATAATGCTACTAAGTAGAATGAGGGGTAGGGTAATTATGTGTTCTGTAAATGAATGTATGATGTTGGGATTCCATTTAATGCAGTGAAATATGACAGCTTTCCAATAGTGGTTGAGGCATTTGAATAATTTGGACCTTGGATGAAACCCCTTAGTTATCATGAGATACGAATTCCTTATTTGAAAAAAGAGGCTGTACATACACATGAACAATTACGATAAAGAAATAACAAATGGATTATTCATGTATTAAAAGAAATGGCGAAGCCAGAAAATTTTTATAGCGGCGGTCCAAATTTTTTAAAGAATTGAAATCTGACAAAATAATGTTTTAATATATAAAGAATGAACTCTTAAAGCTTTTAAGAAATACTTAACTATAATTTGGCTTTATAAGCAAAGGCCGGATCAGTTTGATAGAAAATTTGGGAATGAACAAAACTCCATAAAGTAAAACCTATATTGACCACAATCAACAAAAAATTCGAGCACATTTCAAACAATAAAAAAATTTCATTTTCGACCAATTGAGCAAAATACCTAATCAACTTGAGAAAGTGATATCGAGGCTAAGTCGCGAACGTCGAGGTGATTTGACTGGCAACGTTCAGCGAAGTCACGAACGAAAATTCTAGTGACTTTGCGAACTGCGATTCCAAGGAAGTAGCGAAAAGCAATTCCGATGGAGTAGCAAATGTCAATTCGGCTGGCAACATCGAGTCTAAGTCAAAAATGACAAGTCGATGCAAGAGGGCTAGAAATCTATTCACGAAAAGCAGAGGAGGTCAACTTTAGCAGGCATGCCGCGTGCATTTGTGCTTGAGATCCAAGGAGAGGAACTGACGTCTAGCAACTAGCAGGGGGAGGCGGAAGCGTGGAGATTGAGGAACCGAATGAATTAGGGCAAACACTTATAAAAATAAGTACCGTGTTTTTTTAAGGGGGACATGTGCCCACCCCCCTCAATCCACCCGTGATTTGAAAATTATCTACAGATGTTGATGAATAAGACAAAATTAGTAATGAATTAAGTTTATATATTAGGGTGAAGATTTATTTGGTATTCCTCCAGCTGTATGATAAAGAACTACCCGATCACCAGGTATCAATGTTTGCATAAAATAAAAATTGAGTAACAATTCTATATATAAATAAGTATTTCATTTCTTCCAGTTGATT